TACTATGCCCCACACATTTTCATTTACACCCTCCTCACCTGTGGCCCCACCACATCCCAGGGACCCACCTCCTGGCCCTAGCCAATCTAGAGAACTACCTGACCAACAGGGAGGTTCTGGCAAGGGAGACCCCCAGGGACTGCAAAGACACTTTCCTATCCCTTGTCCGGTCATGTCTCCAGCCAGAATTTCATAGGGCAGCATCCACTGGCTCCTTGGACTTGTCAATCTATTTGCGTCCTTCAAGTTAACATGGGTCTTAAGGCCCATGTAGCTAACTAATAGTCCCTACTATGCGGGGCCGATGGGTGAAACATACAACTAAATTTCTTGAGACGACAAAGTCAAAAAACAGGGTGGGAATGTCGTGTCAGTCAAAGGGTCAAAACATGAGAATGAGTGCTACTGAGAGAAACACCGAGCAGAGCCCCCTGGGCCATGCCTACCAGTCCTCAAAGGCATCCAAGGAGCCGGTGGATGCCACCCATTGGTGCTCCACCCAGAAACATGTATGGAGCAGCGAGAGGAATGAGGCCTGCAGTCTTGGACTTGTCTGAGGGTTAATGAGCACAGGTTGGTGTGCTCTGCTCAGTATTGGCCCTTGGTGCACCCATTCTGAACCTCTGACCATCACTCCCATCCCTGTTTAGTCTTTCCTTTGTCCCAAGAAATAAGCCATTACTTTCTCAGTGGCCTCCCTTTGCAAGTGAAGCTTATAGTTCTCCTTGGCAGGCAATGGTCCATGATCCCTTAAAAGAAACACTCTCTGTCTCTGTCCATGGGCCCAAATGCTGAGACCTCCTGGGCAATCTTCTCATGGCCCTGGCCAACCTAGTGATCTACTTAGCCAGGAAGGAAGCTCGGGGGAGGGGAGAGCAAGACAGAGACCCTTAGGGACTGTAGGACTGCTTTTCTGTCTCTGGTCTGTTCACATCTCTGGACAGTTTCACTAGACAGTGTCCATTAGCTCTCTGGACTCAACCCAGGGTGAATGGACATTGGCTGGTGTGCTCTGCTCGGTGTCCCTTCCCCACAGTGCACTTGTTCTGAACCTCTGACACACACTCCCATTCCCATTTTGCATTTCTTTTATCCCATGAAATTAGTTACTTTCTCAGTGGCCTCCATTTCTAAGAGGGGGTTTACAGTCTTTCAAGCTCATATCCCTTGAAAGTAACTAACTGGTCTGTTCCTGGTCTGCTCACATCTGTGCGCAGAGTATCACTGGGCAGCATCCACTGGCTCCTTGGACTCATCCAAGGGCCAGTGGGCATTGCCCAATCTGCCCTATGTGCTCTGCTCTGTCCCCCATCTCCCCTGGAGCACATGTTCTGAATTCTTCCATCTCTGCTTATTTTTTCCAAGTGTCTGGAAGAATCAGTTGCTGCATACTGGGTTGGCCCCTCACAACAGGGGTGGAAACCCATCCTATGTGGGCACAAGCCCATGACTTTTCTGCATACCAGACAGGGCCATGTCACATAGTAGCAGAAAGCGGGTGCTGAAAAGGAGAGCGACTAGGGTAAACCCCCTCCCTGTCACCCCACTGCAGCCCTTTCAGCAGCATTTTGAAAGATCAAGACATAAAGGGAGGAAAGAAAAAAATAAAAGCTCATCAACTTCAGCAGAGCAAAGTGAGAATTTTCCAGAACCCTAGTTTCAGAGAAAAAACCCATACTAAGCAACCTCTCACCATATTCGGAATGAACAGCACCTCATGTTTGACATGTACAGACCTAAAGTCTGTATTGTAAGTAAATTCAAAGTGTAGTCCATATAGTCAAATGCAAATCCATTCCAACATCATCTCAATTTTCTTCAAACCATTCCTTCCTTCCTGCATCTTGTGCTTTATAACAAAGTAGTTCTTCTGTTAATGACACATGCAACTAAACAACAAAATTATTTATACCCTAACCACTTTTATCACATGTTTCTCAAAAACACAAATAAATGTATGACCCCCCACCCTATGTTCTGGTGCAAGACATAAGCATCTCTCAGATTCCAAGTACAGCTGGAAGAAATTATAAGAGCTCAGAGGTTTGTCCAGTCTTAGACAGTTGCAGAGACTTTAATAACTAAACTTGAGACTGAATCACATTTTACTCTCACACTTTTAAAATACCTTCCCACTTTTTGTATGTTCAGTGAGTCCTATGGGAAAGACCTGAAAACAAAAGCCTCATAAAGGATTTAAAAATTAAAACTAGTTTTACCACCAACTTCTCCACTTTGTAAGAAACCCCATGGTTAAAGAGTATGCATAGCCATCAAAATTAAACACTGCTAACATACCAATCGGTTAAAGAAATGACAATAGCAGTCCTATTATCTGGCTGTCCTGTTATCAGAGACAGGGAGTTTAAAAAAAATGGTTTTATGTCATGTTGAAGATACTCTTTGCAGGTGACCTGAACTACACATACCAGAGCTCAGGACTACTGACCAAGCATGATACCAACCACACCTTTCCTTAGAGCCTGGGAGCTATATAAAATAATGCTAATGACAAATTCTACTGCAATTAAACACTGTAACAAGAAAGAAGCATAACTCAACACCCTGCTTGCCAACAGACACCTTTGGGGTAAATACACTGCTCCAACTTTTACCCGAGCCTAATTTGCAGAAAATGAAAAATGAACTTTTCCAGGCAAGAGATCTTACACTGCCCTCCTGTGAAATATGAATTTTCATTTCTACCTGGGAGAAATTTTGCAATCTTTGCATTCCCCTATGCCTGAGGAAGGGCATGTGCCCCCAAAAGCTTGCAAAGAAAGAGTTTTGGGATTTTTTTTTGCAGCCGTCTAGTCAGTCCAAGATATCGCCTCTTGCCCACTGAATGAAGTCAACTGCTTTATTTATTTATTTTTTTTTGGAGTAGATAGATATGAGCCGCCCAATGACTTAACACACCAGACTGAAGAGCTCTCTTTCGGCCTACCAATCTTGATCTGACAGCTGTCACTAAGACTTCGCATTTCTTCTGCAAATGTTTCTTAGAGCAGGTATGTGCAGAGGACGAGAGGCCCACACCGACCCGCTCAGGAAGTGACAGCAGCGGCCTCATCGCCCGCTGCCGCCATCCGAGATGGGGAGTTAAAAAAAAGAGAGAGAGAAACGCGGTTTGGTGCCGTGGTGGGAACCTCCTCTACAGACCCCCGCACTGCGCACCAGGCCGGATGCCGCCCCAGGGACTTACAAAAGCGGCGCCAATGACACAGCCCAACGCCCCCCCGCCCGGGCCCGCCGCCGCACTTCTACCTTGCTCCTCCCGGCTGTCCGCCGCCATCCCGCCGCCGCCGGAGCTCGGGGCCTCGGAACCAGGCCTAGGTCGCGGGAGCCGCCGGGGCCCTAAGATGGAGGCTACTTCCTGGGCGGAACAATCCCCCCGCCCCCCCTTCTACCCACCATGCACCGCTTTGTTTACGCTCCACGCGTCACAACGCCGGGCCCTGACGTCAACGCGCGCGCACGCCCGCAGCAGGGCTGGGCGGTGAGGAGGGAGGGGAGTGGGGCGTCGCGCCGGAATGCCGGCGTCCGCCCGCTCGCCGAAGGCCTGGGTGGGCGGGGCGTTACCGCTACGCTCATCACGTGGCTTCTCCTGGGCGCGCGGGGGGCGGGGCTTGGAATCATCCTCCCCCTTCGAGTTGCAGTCACTGCCGGGGGGCGGGGCGGAACGAGAGGAGGCGAGGCGCGGACTGTGCGGAGCCTGCGGACTTGTGGGAAGCCGTGGAAGCTGCGCACGCGCAAAGCGTGGAGGGGTGCAGTGTTGCCAGGTGTACGGTACGATTGTATTTGTAGGATCACTTCAACCTTCCTGCCATGTATAATCAATAATAGTAAAAGTGTTCAAAAACTGATAATTTTTGAGGTAGTTCACTGATGCAGCATATGCAAAACCCAAGTCACTCTCAGGGAGTTTTAACCATATTTCAGGCTTGTGGTCAACACTTTTTTAGGACAGCTTGTCTTGAAATAAAGAAATGCCTCAACTTTGATGACCCACTTCTCACTCTCTGACTGGGGAGTTATAGTGAGCAATATAAAGTAAAGAAGAAGACTTATTTACATGTTCATTTGCACACTTATTTGCATATCTTTCTGTGTATGATAATTTTTCAGCAAAAACGATAATTTTGAGCTAATTTCATATTGAAGACCTGGCAATGCTGGGGCAGACCTAGGGTGTTGAATAGAGGTGGTGCACATGGTGAGGTGTCTCTGGCCATTGAAGGCAACACAATTTTTCTGCATTTAAGAAGCTAGTGGCTTTACTAATACCCTTGGGGCACTAGTGTTCAGTTTAAATTGAAGCAGAAACCAATAGGATGAATGGACCAACAAAACCTGAATTCGCTGTCCTTTACCACGTAGAAAAACTCCACCAGCTCCGTGACACTAAGCAAATGTGGTTTTGTTTCGTAGTTACAATTAAATGGGCGTCTTTTTTTCCCCCTCTTCAGAATCGGAAAACGAGAGCTAGCCTTCCTGAGCGTCTTGAGTGAGCTGCCGGAGCTCCCCTGGTTCTTTCTGCCACTGAGTGAATGTTTGTAGGTGGAGTCAAAACCATTTGGCAGGGCTGTGAAATAGGGACTAGAGAAGCAGCTAACAGTCAGCTGACTTGTCAAAGGAAGGCTAGCCTGATGGGTGGGATATCCTGGCCCTTAAAAAATGGAAAGAGGATGGTTAACACCTATGAAAGGAGGAGTTTACAAAGAGTCAGGTAGATTAATTACAAGGAGCCATGAAGTTGGTTGACTCCCTCACTGCTGCCTGAACAGAAATGCTGCTGTCACTACCAGGTAGTTGGTTTTAAACTTTCAGTGGAGCAGGAATTAAAAGGGGAGGGGGGTGCAACTGCACCACTGCACCCCCACCCCCTGGATCCACCTCGGGGATGGCTCTGGGGAGAAGCAAGGAAGGAAAATGTGCAGCCATCCAAGGTGAGGAAGGCGCATGGTGCTGGTTTGGGAATGAGAGGCTGTGTGGAGCTGTTTTGGGTTGTACAAGGCTGTAGTTATGCAGAGCTTTAGTAAGCTGCGTTCTGGGAGAAAGGGGCCTCATGACGGCTGGACAAACCAGTAAAAAAAAGAAAAAACCCCCACACTAATGAGCAAAAAGACACTGCAGGGAGTATGAAAGCAGCAGCCAAAAAAGAAGAACTCATTAATGGGACAGATAACAAGCACAAGTGCGAAAACTTGGCTAACAAAAGAAGTAGAGATGAACAATTAGAGAGAGAGAGAAAGAGAAAAATGAATTGGCACAAGATGGGGAGAGCATGCAAGTATGAATACAAGGGTTGTGGGAGCTGTCCCTCGTAGAGACCTAGAGGAGCGTGGATACCATACAGTGTCTCTACCTGTCATGTACAAGCTTCACTAAGCTGGACTGACAGTTAATCAAACTAACTGGTGTGCTGTCTGACGACAATAAACCTTTCTGGGTTTTTGCCACCGAGCATGGAGCCGAGTTGTGTTTTCTGCCTCGCCTTTGGAATCTGGAGGCTGGCTTGCTAGCCTTGGCTTTCCAGAGCATGCAGGAGTGACAAACTTACCCAATCAAGCTCCAACGTGTCCAGGGGCTCGAGACTCCTTGAGCAAATCTACCAATCAGAAAAAAACTAGGGGAAAGCAGACACTGCCCCTTTCCCAAAGGGAGGGGGAGAGAAGCTCCCTGACCAGACTGTGGACTGCAGCACGGCAGGTCTGCCGATCTTCAGGGGCAGAACTCCTGAAGCATATAAAAGGAAAGTGTGTAAGGGATCTAAACCTGACTGGGTGAAAGAGCAACCCACCTGGGGTTTGCCCAGCTTATGAGGGAGGTATGAGAAAAGAAAAAAATCCTCCAACTGCAGGAAGCCATGTGGCCCCCCAAGGAACCTTAGGTTTACCAGGGACCGGTAAGTAGGGTGATGGCTATAGCTCCCCAAGAGGAGCTACCCCATAAAATAAAAGAAGAACCCTCCCTTCCAGTTCTGGCCACCGCTATCACTGGAACAATTCCCAAAAAGCCCCACAAAAGTGATCGAGATCTCCAGGGTCCCTCCCGAGTGAGGAACCGATCCAAGGCTGTGGGACTATGTTATACGTGTGGGGAATATGGTCGCATGGCGAGAGGGTGCTCAGGGCCTGAAAACCTTGACAGGGTCTTTCAAAGGTTAAAATTCCTATTGGGACCAGGGAACGAGGAAGAGACGGAACAGGGGACACCCTGGGCCTTGTCCAACTCCCGAGCTGCAACCAGGAGTGCAATACCTGAAGGGCTAATAGGTCCCCAGACTGAAGTTCCTGTAAAGGTCAATGAACACTCCTGTACTGCAATATTGGACAGTGGGTCTCAGGTGAGCATTTTGTTTAAATCAATGTCTAAAGCTCATTTCAACCATTTACCATTGTTCCCCTTGTCCAGGTTGAGTTTGTGTGACCTTAGTGAAAATCTGTATCCATATCACAGGTATATTAAAATTAAAATTTGTTTCCCTATGTCTGTGGCGGGAACCGATAAAGAAATGGCGACCATTGCCTTGGTGTGTCCAGACCCAGGGTGGAAGCCAGAGGACTTATTATAAGGACTAACTCTTGCATTTTCCAAGTATTGACCCAGTAGTGTAAACAGCAGGTGGGCCCAAACTATAGGAAACAACTAAGAGTGTATTCTCTGTATTCCAAGGCCTATGCTAGGTATGAATGGAGAAACACAAAAAAAGATCCCCCATTTTAAGGGAATTACAGTTTGTGGGGGAAAAGGCCCCAAAAGATCCCTGTGAAGAGGCAAAGAGCCCTACCCATTGCCTGCAGTTGGGCTGAAGGGTCCCCAGAAGCTAAGGCCGTGGCGGTTGAAGCTCTCCCCTGTGGGAAGGGATCTCGAGTGTTGGAGGTGCCTGATGGATTGTTTGCTCCTGAGGGGCTGGCCCAAGAGCACGTCACCATCATGGTGGTGAATCCCTCGATGCAGAAGGTGGTGGTCCACCCCAGTCAGCGGTTAGCCACTGTTAGGGAGGTGAAGGTAGTAGCCTCGACTAACCAACCTAGATCCCCGCTGATAAACCCCAAGCGGTTTTATTTCGGGAATTCCCCTACACCGGAAGCCTGAAAAGAGCAGCTGCAAATGAAGCTGTAGCACAGGACTCGGGTTTTCTCTCTCCATGAATGGGATGTGGGGAAGGCTGTGGGGGTGGAGCACCAAATTTGCCTCAGTGATCCCTGACCATTTCAGAAATGGTCTTGCCACATCCCACTGGCCGAAATAGGAGAGGTCGGGCGCCACCTGTAAAAACTGCTCGACCATGGGATAATCACTGAGTCGAAAAGTCCCTACACCTTGCCCATTGTCATCGTAAGGAAGAAAAATGAAAAACTCCATATACGTATTAACTGTAAAGTGTGCTAGATTGCCTTAGAGGCGGTAAATAGTTTTCTATGTTAGACCTGAGGAACAGATATTACCAGATTCCCCTCAGAGAGGCAGACAAAGAAAAAAATGCATGCATTTGCCCGTTGGGCTTCTTCCAGTTTAAAAAAATACCTTAAAATATTTTGGGTGCTCCAGCTTCCAAAGATTGATAGAACAGGTGGTCAGGGATATACATCTCACCCAAGTGCTCGTGTACCTAGATGACTTTATTGTGTTTGGGAGGACCTTATTGTGTTAAAGGAACACGATACTTGGCCAGTTAGAAGTTGCAGGCCTCAAGCTGACTATCAACAAGTGCCAGTTTTACCAGACCTCAGTAAAATATGTAAAGCATATTGTATCCCAACAGGAGATTAGTACTGACCTGAACATAGTCCACTCTGTGAACACTTGGCCTAGACCCATGAACTATCAAGAGCTAAAACAATTTTTAGGATTCACAGGATTCTATGGGAGATTTGTGCGGGACTATGCCACGTATTGCCTGGCTATTGAATCACCTCACCCGGGGATATCAGACGGGAAAGGCTTCCCGCAACCAAAAGAAGCCAGAGCACTCCAAAATGGGGGGTGGGGGGGTGGGGGGTAAAGAGTCCCACCCAGCCTTTTAAACCAAAATAAAATGAGCAGTGTAAGAAAACGTTCCAAAAACTTATTAAATATCTCACTAATGCCCCTGTATTGACATATCCAAATCCTAACAACCTTTCATCCTTCACACTGACACCAGTTTATCCATTCTGGAGGCAGTACTTTACCAAGTACAGTAAAAGCTCGGTTCCCCCGGGAATGGGGGATGCCGGATAACAAAATATGCTGGCTAATTGAGTGGTCCCGGCTGCTGCTTCTCACGCTGTGTCTGGGGCATTCCTCCGCCCCTCCCGGTTAATGGAGCATGCCAGCTTATCAGATGCCGGATAACAGAACTTTTACTGTACACAAAGGGCAAAAGCTCCCTGTAACATTTGCGAGCCAAAGCCTCATGCCCAACAAAACTCAATACCCAGCTCATAAATTAAAGTTCTTGGCCCTTAAATGGGCCATTACTGAAAAGTTCCAGGACTATTTATACAGAACAACATTTCAAGTATGGACTGACAACAATCCATTAACATACGTTCTAACCAGTGCCAAGCTGAAAACCACCAGGCATTGGTGAGTTGGTGCTTTAGCAGACTTTTCGTTCAGCCTCCACTATTAGGTTGGATGTTAAAATGTTGATGCTGATGCCCTGTCTCAGATAACTCCTACTCATGCCTGAGGAGTGCTACAGCCAGAGGCTGTTTGGGGAATTCCCCAGGCCTGGAGCCATTACACCGTGTTGACTCCTTTGGCGCTACCCCAAATTCCATGGGATGAGCCCAGCTGCAGGTTGCCAGGGCAACCAGAGGAGGTCAGCTGACCAGAAGGGGCAGGGCCTGGCTCCCTTATAAGCCCTAGGGGCAGCAGTCAAGAAGGAAGGAGCTTTTTGTCATGGAAGAGAGGAGAAACTGGATGCAGGAGCAGTGTCTGACACTGCTGCGAGATGAAGAATCCCTGGTAGGTCTGAACATGGTTATAGCTGGGGGGCTTCTGTTTATGTTAGCCAAGGGGCTTGTGTTTTTGTTACTGTGTGATACTGGTGATTTGGGGGAGGCTAATAGGGGTTGGAGGAGGCCTCATAGAGGATCTACAGCAGTGTGGGGACCCCAGTGCTGGTGAGGTGCAGCATTCAGGATGCATTGACCCCAGCCCCAGAGAGGGGGGCAGTTGAGAAGTCCCAGGGAGAGGGGGTGTTGCTGAGAAGCCCCAGTGTGGGTGTGGTGAGTCCCCGGGGGTGGGGCCCGGTGGCGTTATTGTGGGAGAGCCCCTGGGGGGGGTGGGGCGCGGTGGTGTTATTGTGGGAGAGCCTGGGGCGGGGGGGCTTTGAGAAGTGCCAGAGAATGGGTGCGGAGAGAGACAAAGCTGCAGAGAGCCTGAGTGCCAGAGAGGGTGTAGACCTGGACCGTACAACATCTATTCCAGCTGCAAAGCTTGGGGCGTGGTAAAGGGATGGTTGGAGCCATGCATAGCCCATAAGGCTAAGGTACCCCATAAGCACCCATTGCAGAGCGGGACCCATAAGGGGTTCGGGAGTCCACAGGGCAGATATTACAGCAGCCTGTGTCCAAGAGGACGTAAGGCAGCCTCCCATATCTTTAATCTCCATCAAAGATGTGGTGGGCAAGAAGTGAGGGTGCTCTTTTGGACCAACTTGGCACGGGAAGGGGGCCTTGAGGAGATCACACCCCTCCTGCAGGACTCCCCGTGACAAAGTATTTCTCCACCTTTAAACTGCTTGCCTTCCTACATTCTGATCAGGGCAGGGATTTTGAAAGCAAGTTACTCAAAAAGGTACGGACTATGACAAAGTTACAGAAATCCCGTACAACTCCCTATCACCCACATGGGGATCCCCAACCCGAATGATTCAACAAAATGCTACTGAACATGCTGGGGACCCTAAGACGGGAACAAAAGGCATCATGGGGCCAATGTTCCCTCCAAGTTGTAACGATCCGTGAGTGTGCTGCTTTGGTCTGTTTCTGAGTTGGTCCTATCTCCCCATTTCGGCACGCACCGCTTCGGTCCACCCCACAGTATGACAACAAAAGATGATACTATAGCTTTTCATTTATTACCAATGGTAATATCAATAAGTAAAGGAGAGAAGTGAGAGAGCCCCCCTCCAACACCCAGGCTGGCAAATGAATAGCTACTCCTGCACATTTCTTTTTCCATGCTTACTTGTGTATGATAATCCAGGGTTGGCCACAAATTAATCCCAGTTTTCAATAGCAACCCTCAAAGCTTGGAAATAACCATATTCCAGCCTGCACATAATACCCACCTCCCTCATTCCCCACCTCTGTGCCTTGCTGCAGCCTTTGAAAGTGGCATAGTGCCATGTGCCTTCTGCTGCTGGTTAGACCAGGCAGCGAGGAGGCACATGGCATCGGGGCTCAGGGCTCAGCTCGCCTGAAGGGGCTGGGGAGTGGAGTAGTTCTCCAGAGCCCACTCGATGTCCAGCTATGCCCCAGCCCCCATCCCTACCCCCACCTCACCTCGTGGAGGAGCCGCTGCCTGCCCCACATCACTCTTCCTCCCCACGGGGATGCCAGCGTGGTGTGGAGTGGAGCGGAGTGGCCCCCACGCAGCCGAGCAATAACTTACTACCAGTAAGTGTCCCATGCCTCTGCCGTGCTCCAAGAGCAGCGCCCAAAGTTTCCAGGAAGCTGCAGCCCACCTTCTCTCCAGGTGGGTACAGGGCATTAAAAAGTTACTGTGCAGCAAGATTTTTTTTTTATTGTGCATGGCTGCACACGTGCATGGCTTGGAGGGAAACTTGCATGGGGCCAACATCTGTCTTTTTTTTTTTTTTTAATGCATGCCTACAAATCAATGAGAAATGATGCTACTGGGTTAAGCCTCTACTTCCTCATGTTCGGGAGGCAGCCTCAGCTTCATACAGATCTGCTGCAGGGTAGAAACAGCACTTATCACATGAGCAGTATGCCCAACAACTGAAGGAAAACTAAGGCAGGCCTACCGCTTGGCTAGAAACCTAACGAGCCATAACCAATTAAGACACAAATGAAATTATGATGCCCAAGTCAGGGAGGAAGGACTAAGCCCCAAAGACAGGCTTTAGTTGAGGAATCTAAGCCTAACTGGGAGACACAAAATCACAGATTGCTGAAGAACCAAGCCCCATGTAGTATCCAAGAAAATAAAAGACTTACCTGTATATAAAGTGGCCCCAACAACCAGGCCTGGATGCCCCCAAATACTGCACTGCAATCTGTTACTACTTATTAATAAATTGGTTAGTACCAGGCCCTCTGAGCTAGAACTTCCTCATAGATCCCCTTGACCTAAGCAACGGACCTGGTCTAAACAAAAGGATGCCTGTTTGCCTACCCCTGCAGAGGGAATAGACTGACTCAAACAGTGATGAGTGGTACTCCTCTGAGTTCCACTACAGCCCAAGACCCATCACTCCTGAAGGAGCGGTCCAGGCAAACACAGCTAGGGAAATCCTAGAACCTGGGGACCCTCAGCAGGGATTACCCCTAGAGACCAAGCACCCTGCCTCCGTGCCACTGACTCCAGGGCCCTCTCACTTTAATCCTGCCTTACCACCCCATCCCTTCCACCTGCGGACAGGGCATACCCCTAAACGTACCTGGGCTACACAAGCTCCTGCAGTCTGTACATAAAAAGTGATAGCAACCATATACCACTGGAGAAGACACTCTGCACACCTCAGAACAACATCCTGTTCCATCGTCCCAGATGCGCCACAAGGTGAGCCCCTACCCACCCTGCCTCAACAGTATTTTTTTTCCTCATCCTTCGTTAAGACTCACAGTTTCTGTTCAGCACTTGCAAACCAATTTCCAATTGCTGGTGCTTCAGCACAGTTCAGTTGTCACACGTGTCCACACCCTTGCCTACTCCCAGAGAAATTTCTATGGCAGCTGGCAGAGGTGGGCTAGGAGAGCTGACTTGCATGGAAGAGCTGTGAAGGATGTTCTACTCCCAATGGCAGATCTCTACCCCTCTGTATTCCAGCAGAGCTTTGTATTCCCTTGAGCTATGGGATGTGACTGGGCATGACCATAGAATGATAGAAGAAAGATTTAAAACATGGAAAAGTGCCTTCTTCAGTGCCCTGCCAAAGTAGAGCCTAACCACCCCTGCAGACTGCCTCCACAAAGCCATGCCTCACTCACCTCTGCTGTGCATACCACTCTTCAGGTGAAGGAAGTGGGTGTCAGGACTTAGTGACTCAGACCCAAGCCGGTGTGTTATGTTGGTTGTAACCTGACTATGAGAGACTCAGTAACATAAGAGCCACTTGATTCAGGGAGAAATTTTCCTGCACCTTTAGGTAGGGGGGAACTAATGATGGAGGTTTCACTGTTTGAGGGAAGGAGGTTACTTTATTGGTCATGAAGGTGGTTTGAGGGAAGAAGGTTACTTTATTCATCGTGACGATTTCACTTATGTTTTCTACAAGAAAGGGCAGGTGTAAAATTCTGGCAAGAGGTGTGATGGACTGCTGGGCCTGGGAGGGTTGTTGCAAACAGGTGAGTCCATTGATGAACGCTGAGACTTTTTAGTGTTAAGGTGGATAGGACTGTGTGAATAAGTGAGCCCCCAGAAGAGGAGCGTAATCTCAGTAAACTAGACAGAGCAGTGGGCTGTACTCTTTTCTTTACTTTAAAAGTGGGAAAATCAGAAGTAGCGGTGGAGGTTGCTATTGATCTACTCTAGGTAAGATAGTAGGAACTCTAGCTTGCAACTATGTACTTTTTACCTTGTGCTACTCTTGTATCCTTTGCTTGGGCTTTCAGCATTATTTTTTCCCTAGGAAATACGTGTTTTGGAATATTATTTACATACATTCACACTCTTGTCTTACATTAAGGTTTTTTGAAGAAGTGAAAAGAAAATGCAGGCCCCTGAACTGGGATAATTACACCCAGTTCAGGTTTTTGTCTGCGTTCTTCCTGGGGTAGCTGTTTCCTTAGAGCAAACAGGCTTTTTTTACCTATTTCCCTGCCATGTAGGAGGAAAGTGAGTTATACCTAGCTACTGTGAACTACCCTGGGCTAGCTGCACGTCTGTCTTCTCTGTGATCCTGGTGTAATTTCCATCCGTATACAATGGGGAATATGCACCTATATATCATTTCACATCCCATTATTGTTCTTGAGACTTATTTTTCCTGTGCTTCTAATAGATTTGTCTTAGCTGCAATGGTCCAGGAAATATGAGAAGCAACTTCTGTTTGTTATATCTTTTTATGGGGCCAACAAAGTATTTGGGAGAGATGTTAGATGACCTTTTTGGGAACATAGTGCCCTTCCTCAGTCCTGGGAAGGTACAGCTTCAGCTAAGTCCTAGATAAACACAATGACCTTGTTTTAATAGTGAGAGGCAGTTAGCCACATTAGTCTGAAATCAGTCAGAAGGCAGGGTAGATATGCACCTTTTATAGACTAAATAAAATATAGATTAAGAGTGTAAGGCTTCATGAACCTGCATTCACTTCATCAGATGATGTGAAAGGACATGCAGAAAGCAGAGTATAAGGAGAGAGAAATTAGAATACAAAAGACAAGGATAAGGTGGTGGAAGAGAGAAAGGGGGGGGGGGGGAAGGGGCAGTGCTAGGAGAGCAAAGAAAAGGAGCAGTATAAACCCATAGAAACGAAGGGGGTCAAAAAAGCTAAGTCAGGTAATAAGATAAGAATCCATAGTCCCGCTTAAACCATGCTTAACACAATCCAATTTGTGGATGATTTCTTGTTCCACAATTTCCCAAACTATTTAAAAAAAATGTTTTTTTTGCCTGAGAACAGCAATCCTGAGGTCAGCGATATAGTGTCCAGGAAGGGTGAAGTGTTTTGCCACAAGTTTTTGTGTCTTTCTGCAGCTGATATCAGATCACTGTTCATTCATTCTTGCCTTAATAGACCATGAAGTGAAACCGTATCCCGACAAAAGAAAAGTTCCACTAGATGGCGCTGCTAATACAAGTCAACCAGACTGGTGTTTCAGTAAATTGCCAGAAATAACAGTAGTGTGTGTGTGTGTGTGTGTGTGTGTGTGTGTGTGTGTGTGTGTGTGTGTGTGTGTTAAGGGGATGGTGTGCAAAAGAAGGAAATGGGTTTTTTTCCCCATGAATTTAGGTTTCTAGAAAGCAAAAAGGGCAATTCTGCAGTTGGGGATGATTTCTGCCTTTTATTTCTGAGGCTACAGAGCACGAGATCTCTGCTTAACCTCTGTCCTTTTATTTGTAATCGTCTGCTTATACTGTAATAGTTTTGCTTACTTGTTCAGTTGAATAGACTTCCTGGGAAAGCCAGAGTGCGTTCTCTTACAAAGTCCATGCAAGAGCGAAGCTGTGCTGAATGTCTTATACCCCAGTATTACGGGGTATGTGGAGTGAGACAAACAAAAATATCAAAGCTGATGCCCTCCTTTAGGTCACGTACTGCCTCACTGTCTTCCCCTCTACTACAGTGGGGAAGACAGGGCTCCATCTCCAACTTGTTGCACCTCACGTTGAGCCACGTGACTCTAATCTTCAGAGTCAGGGCTCCATCTCCAACTTTTTTCAGCATGGCTGTTTCCCAGTTGAGAACCACTCTTGTGTTCAACTTACTTAAGTGACTTTCAGCTGGGTGCCAGTACTGCCAGGTAAAACTATCCTGTGGATCCGATACATCACCCAGCTGGGAAGGGCTGTGGCACATGTGTTCCTTCTGCATTAGGATTCTCTGATCAGCCTACAGCAGACTGGGGAGCTAGCTCATATACCTTTCCAGGTCCTTTTGTGTCTGAAACCTTGTCTAACATCTCTCAGTTATGCAGTGGGTCCAAAAAAAGAGATCACCTGAGCTTTTTGGGTAGGGCAGGGTAAACATCTAATTAATAAAATAAATACATATTTCCTGGACCATCATGGCTACAACAACACTCCAACTCTTCTCTTCACTTTCACTTGTGCTTACCTTTCCTTCTCTCAGACAGTCAGGCTCATCTTGGTAATAGTATGCTACTTGTATTATTTGTGTTTTTAACAAGGCTGGGATTATCTGAATGAAGATTCAGAGGTTGGGATTTTCAGTAGTGCTTGATGCTGTTTGAACTGTGCTCCTATGGACATCAACAGGAATCTGTTAGCTTCAGTTGGACCAGACTATGTCCAGTGCTGTGAGTATATTACAATCTCACCCAAAATTGTGAACATCTTATTAAATGTGACTTGAATAGGAAAGGTAACACAAGGGGTTATGCCTGTCTTTATCCAGGGGGATAATCGGCCTGAAAGGTTTGGCTTTCGTTTAGTTTTCTTAAAGATTGTTCATCCCAGAAATCTTATTGAAATCCTCACTGAGCTACCTTAAGGCATAGAATCTCCACAAAAAACATACAGGGCCTGCTTCCCACATAGTACAGACAATCATAACTCTTCTGACTTTAATCCAGCTACCCAAAATACCATGGAAATTGAATGTTGACTGTCTGCTCAGCCTTCAGAAACTGGCCCGTACACAGTTGCAGGGGAATACTGTGTAAATCCAGTCATGAGGGCCAGATTTTTTTCAAGTTGTTGGTATCCATAACAGGGCACAGACATTCAAAAGGGCTTAGCTCCTATTTAAAAACCTTGATTAAGGCTCTGACTCCCTCAAAAAGCAGCAGCTCAGGTGCTGATTCTTGGGGAGCATCCAGATGAGCATGCATGTGCAAGGGTGCATGTTTCCCGTGGCACAAAGAGCAGCAGCACATATTTGTGCTGCTGCTTTTTACCCCAGGGCACACCCCTACACATGTACTCTGTTGTGTGGCAAATTGTAGGTAGGGTAAAGGAGGCTGGGGGTGGGACCAACATCTGTGCTCGCTCCAGCAGCCTTACCTGGGGTTCTGGGAGCCTCCTGGGCCGGCAATGGTGCGGAGCTGGCTGTTCAGAGCCTAGCTGTCAGCCAGAGCCAGGCTCCCTTTCTGCCACTGCATGCTGCAGCCACATGTGCTGCCCCTCTCAGACTTTTTTGACACCAGGATCTCCCTGGGTCAGATTTTGGTGCCACACTGCAAATTAGCAGTGCAGCAAGTGGGTGCATATGTGCTGCATGTAGTTTGTGGCACCTCAAACAGCTTTGAGGTGCCACAAACCACACTTAAGCACTTGTCTAGATGTGCCTTTCCTGACAGATTTTTTGAAAAGGACTCAGCATCAAGCATCTTCCTGATAATCAGATGCATGTTTTGGTGCTTCAATGGGAGCTGAGCTCCTTTGAATATCTCATAGTTAATATGATTTCCCATACCATGTAAGCCTACTTTCTTTGCCATCCTTATCAATCCCTTCTGATTTAAGCTTTTCCTCAATCTTTTTTAGTAACCAAGGAGCAGGTTGGATCTGGGGATTGAGAGGAAGCACAATGAGGCCTGACGTTCAGGATGCTAGTAATTATATCACTTCTATTTATCACAAATCTTATAACAGTAAGAAAACCCATCTCAATCATGTTCCTTCTTGCCTCTATAGGCAAGGCATGTAGGTTGCCTGTAGATGTATGGGGACATTGCTTTGAGGCACTGTAATTACTGCATATTGGAGCAGACTTGATTCATCAAGTCTGTTGGAGTGTGCTAATTAGCATGCTCTCACAGACTCCACATCTTGTGTATTTAGTATCACCATGCTTCAAAATGGTGTCAAACAATCTTTAGTTAAAGCTCCCTAGCTGCCATTTCCACAACTACACCACTCACTTAACTGTTTCATTGCTTAACACAATCTTAAATTTTTTACATGCCAACATTGCTTGTGACTTTAGAAAAGCCAATTAGATCAGGATGCTTTGTGCTCCTCTGTTCCCAGTAGGCTGCTTTGGTTAAAATCTGCTTCCTTTTTGTGAAATATACTTATCAGAGCTGGCTTGTGCAAAGCTTTAGAACACTTGCTAGATGTGGCATGTTCTTAGTTCTGCTTAGATTTTCAACCTGGCATTAAGTCAGGTTTTTATTTTGGTTTCTACTATCCTTGGGCAAAAATAATTGCATAGGGAAGTTATTTCCTGGAGCAACTAGGGTCTCTTGAACAGAGGTGTAACTGCCAAGATTTCTTTCTTGGAAAAAAACTCTGCTGGAGCATGGAGAAGGGGGAAGCTTTAACTACCCTAGGGACTCAGAGTCCCTTGCTGCTGCTGCCATGGCATGACCTGCCTGTCCCAACTATTGCTGCTAGAGGAGTGGCACAGGGCTGCAGCTGTTGCCTCAGCACAGACTCCCTGTAGGACCACCATTCTGGCGCCTTCTCTAAGTCAGTGCCCAGGTCTCATGCCCTGCTCACCCACCCCTTGTTATGTTACTGCTCTTGAGTATAGAGAACCAATGGGTGCATGCAGGTGCTTACACATCTAATAGCCTAAATTGTTCTGTAGTTATTTTCACCTGCAATTCACAGATGTAGAATTAGAGGTCTGTATTTGAACAACTGGTCCAATATCTTTAGTTGGTTGCAGATTGTACCTGAATGAGCTGTTGAGGCCAAGTGTTTTTGGGGTGAAGGGTTCCTAATAGAAAGTTAAATACTTCAGTAAAAAAGGGGCCTGATTTTTATTTACTTATTTATTTATTTTTTCCAAAACAGCTCAGCCTCTGCAAGTCCTTTGACTGCAGAAAAATGTGTTAAGTGTTCAACATGCTTATAATTATGTGGCTTATTTAGAAGCCCAACTAACTTTATTCTCTACAATCTTTAGTCTCTTTAGTTGGGGAAATCGTAGTTTAGCAGCAGCATTTGGACAGGAGTGAGTCTATAATTGAGGACAGGGGTGTCAAACATGCAGCTTGCTGGCTGGACCTGGCCTATGGAGCCCTGTTATTCAGTCTGTGAGTCTCAGACCAATCCCATGCACCACATGCAGCTTCTGGAGCTGGTCTGGTATGAAGGCTGGAACTGGTGCCA